CTCTCTCTCTCTCTCTCCTCTTTGTCTCTGTTCTCTCTGTCTCTCTGTCTCTCCCCCCTCCCCATGTATGTGTTCTAACTTCCTTTGGCTGCTTCAAAAGGAAGGTTCCAATGATGGCTCTGCCCCCCTACCCTGTCTTTTTTCTATTTGTGCTCTCTGATTTTGTAAGATGGTAATTTCTCTACTCTTTTCTTTCCTAATGTATTCCTCTTTTCTTCTCCCTTTCTTTTCTTCTTTTAAGATTACCTGAACATAACAAAACCACTCCCTCTGTCTTATTTAATTCTTTCTATGACCTCTGATGACATTAGATTTCTATAGAGACACTTGTTTCATCTCCCCTTTTAGAAGATAAACATTTCATCTCTGTATCATTCCTTCCTAGTGCTTGTATATAATTTCTATTTCTCTTATCTCCTGTGTTTGTATTTCGAAGTTTCTAACTCATCTCTGGTGTTTTCATCAGAAGCTTTGAAGTTCTCTATTCTGTTCATGGTTCATTCCCCATGTACTACCCCCTTCCCCTGCCCAGGCCCATATTCAGTTTTTCTAGGTACGTTATTCTTAGTGGTAAGCCTACATCTTTGGTCTCTTGTGTGATTGCATTTCAAGCTTTCTAGTCTTTTATGGTGGTAGTTGACAAAGCTGGCTTGATCTTAACTGTAGGTCCTTGGTACTGGAACTAATGACTTTCTGGTATTTTCTTGTATTTTCTGGGACCTCTGCTTTGGGGATCTTACATTTTTCATTTGGTGGTTTCTTTTAGGAAGTGATAGGTTGTTCTTTCTACTTTAACTTTGCCCTCTGGTTCTAATAGTTCTGGGCAGTTTTCACTCTTGAAATATGATATACAGTCTCTCTCTCTCTCTCTCTCTCTCTCTCTCTCTCTCTCTCTCTCTTTCATTTTTTTTTGTTCTTTGACTGGTTTTCCAGCTCATTTGTTTTACATATGAGATGCCCTACATTTTCTTCTCCTTTTTTTTTCCAGTCTTCGGGGACTAGGCCAGCCAGCCTCCATTCCCCTTCCAGCTCTGCTCTTGACTTTGCAGACTTCAAAATCATGCTACAACTGCTGTCTCATCCTGGAACTTCCCTTGCCACCCAGGGCCTCCTTGCCCTGTAATATTCAACTGCTGTTGTCACCTTCCCACCATGGAATATCCTTCTGTCAGTCTCTCTTCTCCCACTGGTGATCTCTTCCTTCCCTTTGTGGAGGGGGCCAGGCCAGCCTGGCTTCATTCTCCTCCTGACTCTGTTTCTGACTTTCCAAACCATGTCCTTATGAAAGCTGTCTTCATCTCCTCCCACACGCTTTTATCTTCCCCTATTAGAAAGTAAGCTCCTTGAGGGCAGTGATTGTTTTTCTTTTACTTGAATTTTTATTCCTAACACTTAGCACCAGGTCTGGCAGGTATGAAGCACTTAAAAATGCTTGTTTCTTTCCTTCCTTCCTTTTAATAATTCTTGTTATTTCACGGAATCATTAACTTCTATTTGACATATTTTAATTTTCAGAGACTCTATTACTTGGGTAAGGTTTTTTACCTCATACTAAAATGTTCATTTTTCTTCCAAGCCTTTCCTCCAGATCTCTCATTCCTTTGCCAATTCTTTCCTCTAAAGTTCTCACTTTATTTATATCCTTTTTTTTTTTTGCTTTTTTTTTTGGGTGAGGCAATTGGGATTAAATGACTTGCCCAGGGTCACATGGCTAGTAAGTGTCAAGTGTCTGAGGTCGGATATAATATCATTTTAAAACTAATTCTTGCTTCCTTTCTTCTAGGAATTCTAATCAACCTTGTTGTGTCCAAGCTATGTTTGTCACGGGGGCTTTGCTGATAGGTATTTTGGAGTTAGTTATATCTTCTGTGTTTGTTTACTGGGTGTCCCTGTCTCCATAATAGCTTTCTTTTTATGGTCAAGGGGTCTTGTTTGCTTGTTTACTTGTTCTTCCAGACTTGCTTCTTGAATTATGATTTTATGTGTGGGCTGAGCTCTATGAACTTCTGGAGAGAATGTCGGGGCTTTGTTTGGTCCTATTATGTATTATCTGGGGGTCTATTGTTGCTTTTTTCTGGGTATTGTATGCTGTGCCCTTCAAGGGGCACTTGGGGTGGCACAGGCCAAGGAGATGAAGTGGTCTGATCAAGAGCATGGTATAATCACTGCCCTCTTCATCTAAGATTTGCAGACTCCCTACCCCAGGCTGTGATTGGGTAACACAGTCGCATACTTGCCCCTGGCTGGAGCTCCAGTGGACAATTGCTGGCCCCACATCCTGCTAATAAGTTTGAAGGCTCTAGAGGTACAGAAAAAACAAAAGGCAGCCTCCCACTGGGCTCCTTGCCTTGATTGGTTAGAGGAAGGCGCTCCCCCATCTGCATCTACAATCATGCTCTTGGGTCAGAGCAACACAGTGATTGGCTCAACTCGGGTTTTCGTTGCTTGACTCAACCTCCACGCTGGGGCTGGGGCCCAAGCGCTGTGGGTGCTCTCCTCTTCTGTGCACAGTCACCCAGTGCTAGGCATCAGCCCAGTTTCTGTGCAGCCCTTCTTGGCAATTCCTGCAGGCTTCTGGCTGCTTCCCTGGGCTGGCTGGGGCAGCCACAAGACATGCTCCTTATATTTTGTGATCACCGCTCTGTCTGGTGTTCTTTCTCCAGGCGTTTTTGAATAGTTATGGGAAAGCAATGCACCACACTGCTTCCTCCACTGCAAAAGCTGCCTGGCTGTTCTCCTGCCTCACGTCTTCCCCCTCCATTTTATTCTGAACGTGTGGTGCGTGTTCTCAAGAAGCACCTAGGACTCCATGGTGCCTCCAGGATCGAATCCAAACTTCCCTGGTAGCCATTTACAGTCCTTCGAAGCACCGCCTGTGTTTGCAGACTGACCATGCCCTATTGCCTCTCACATACTCTCTGTTCCCACCAAACTGCCTTCTTGCCCTTTCTCCCATGTGCCACCTCAGGGACTTTGTAGTGACTGCCCCCTGTGCCAGGACGGCTCTCCCTCCTCCCCTCTGCCTCTTAGAGCCCCTCAGTTTCCCTCAGAGATCCCTTAAACACCAGGAAGCCTTTCTTGGCCCTCCACCTCAGTCAGTGCTCCTTCCACTGACATTCCTTGGTATCTTTTCTTGGGTTCACACTGTACCCCCACCAGTAGAGTTGAAGCTCCTTCAAGGCAGGTACCGGTCTACTTTGGGCTTTGTATCTTTAGTGTCCCCAGAACCTAGCATACAGTAAGCACTTAATTGTTGCACCGACTAACACGTCTGAATTTTTCTTGTGCAAAGACGAGTCAAACATCTCATTTTCCCCCAGTGCTAAGTAGCCTTGCAGAAAGTGAGGGTGTTTGTTGGCAGGTATCCATGTACCAGAAGGGAGAATAAGGAACTAGATAGAAACCATTAGGGAGAATCAGTCTGGGCAAGCGGACAACGGCCAACGAGCACTTCCTTGCCTCTATGCGAGCCAGAGCCCTCTGCTGGCCTAAGAGAGTATGACAAAGGTTGCCCACAGGGCCGCCAGATGGCGCCGCAGAGCGCGGAGCCGACTGGAGGGGAGAGGGACTGAGTCACTAAGACCTGAGCTCAAATTCAGCCTCAGACACTAGCTGTGTGACCCTGGACAAGTTTTTTCACCTCTGTCTACCTCAGTTTCCCCCTCTGTAGAATTAGCTAGAGTAATAGCGCCGATCTCCCAGAATTGCAGCGAGGCTCCACTGAGATAATATTTGCAAGCGTGCTTAGCACAGTGCCTGGCATTTAATAAATGTGTTTTCCCTTCGTTGTCCCAGCCTCACACAGGTGGCTCCCAGGACCCTGCTAGGGAAGGCAGGTGGTGACAGGGACAGACCCCTCCCGGAGACATGTCCTGAGATCTGAGCCGCCAGGCTCCCAGACAGCGTCTGTGAGGACAGAGGCAGAGAGGAGCGTGTCCCAGGGAGGCAGTCCTGTCTTGTCCAGGGGAATAAGCATGTTGGTGTGTCTAGGAACCCTGACAAAGCCAAAGCTGACTGCTGAGTCCTGGGGGCTGCCTGGAGCAGGCATACTGGCTCACCCCCACTTCAGGCTCAGCTGCGAGACCTTGGAGGGCACGGACCACCTCCCTGGTCCACGTGCATCCCTGGTCCCTGGCATGGTGTCTGGCCTTGCCTTGGTGCCCAATACATGCTCTAAAGTTGGTTTACGGCACTCACATGTTTTCTCTGATCTGGTCTGCAGGAGGCATTGGAGGGTGTCTGGTCCTCTGAGAGCTCAGCCTTTCATCTTCATTCTGACTTCCTTCTCAGCCGGGCTCTCCCATAGTGCTCAAGCATGCAGGAGTACACATAAGCATGAACAATACACATGAGCCTGCAAACACATGTATGCACACACATAACACACACAACACACTCACATGCACACACAGGTACACACACAAGCACATGCACTCACGCACATAACACACACACTCACATGTAAACATAAGCACACACAAGTACGGACACATACACATGAGTTACAAACACATGCACACATACATTCACACATGAGTACAACTGAGCACTTGCATGCACACATACACACATGCACACATAAGTACACATGCGAGCACATGCACGCACACACATAACACACATGCACACACATCACACACACACTCACACATACACATAAGCACACACAAGTATGGACATATACACATGAGCCTACAAACACATGCACGCTAACACTCAGACATGAGCATGACTGAGCACCTGCATGCACACACAAGTACACAGAGCACATGCATGCACACGCACGCACGCACATAACACACATGCTCACATGTACACATGAGCACATGGCACAATGCATAACATACACTCACACATACTCACATGCATTCACACACACGGCTAGCGTCATGGACGCCCTCGGGCTCTGGCTGGGAGGTGTGGACCTGCGCTCCTGCCCGCCCTGGGCTTTCACCTTCACGTCGCTGTGCCTGATTCTCTTCCCTGCTGCCCTTTCTCAGGCTGACCTGCAGCAGAAGAAGGAGCCGGCCCAGGAAGACTCGGACTTGGACCGTAAGCGGAGGGAGACGGAGGCCCTGCTTCAGAGCATCGGCATCTCCCCAGAGCCGCCGCTAGGTACTTACCCCAGAGGGCTCCGCAGCCGACCGCCCACCAAGCTCAGAGCTTTCTCCCCAGGGAAGCCCGGCCCGTATCCTGCGGCTGCCATGCTCCAAAGGGGCCCTCATGCCTGAGAGAACCGTGTGGCTGTGGCCAGCGCATGTCCTCATGTTTTAACCCTTGATTTTCCGTTGCTGTTTCTTTTTCGTCTGGTTTCATTTTCTGGGCCCAGAGTATGGGGATGGAGAAGACGCCACATTAGCGGTCTGGTCCTTCTCGGCCAATTAGAGACAGGCACTCACGGAAATGGTCAGGGGCTGCCTCGGTGTCCAGCACCGAGGCAGGAGCGGCAGAGCTGGGGGAGTTCCCAGCCCTGTGCTGAGCTCAGCGTCCGTAGCTGTGGCCTTGGGTGACATCCTTCTGGTCGATCAGCACATGCCAAGACCTGTCCAGACTCTCCTGCCAGGGTCCCTGGCCCGGGGCGTATGGGGAGCGGGGTAGCGGAGCCTGGCGGCCCCTTTTCCATCTCTGTGTTAAACGTCACTTGTCCAGGATTTCCGAGAGTGGAGACCGCATACCAAACAGTTGACTTTTTGTTCTCCCCCTCACTTTCCATTCATTCCAGAATCTTCATTGGGGTAACTCCCCGGGGAGCAGCCAGTAGATGAACGGGGGGTGGGCAAGGAGCCTCCACAGTTTCAGGTCCCTTTCTTGTCCAAAGTGCAGCTCTGGGAGTGGGTGGATAGGCTATGCTAAGAGCAGGCCTAGGCTTTGAGCTTAGAACAGGACCCTGAGGTGGGTCATCAGGGCTCTAAGGGGGCACAACCAAGGGTCCCACCTGTGGGGAGCTCTTTGAGAGGCCCTTTGACACAGAGAGAAGCCACAGTGTGGCTCCAAAGACCTTCCCACTCCCACCTTGAGCCCGAGTGCGGCCTGTCCCGCAGCTCCTCATCTGTGTGTCTGTCCCAGGGTGTCGCTTTCCTCTGTGTAACTGGAAAGGGCTCCACTAGGTGGTCATTTTTCCAACACTCATAGTTCCATGATTCTGGGTCTAGTGGCCGTAAATTGGGTGCCAGTTTCACAAGGCCCAAAGTTGGACCTCATTAACAGTTGGGATATTGGACTTAGCGTTGCTACCCTGGTGTCACAGGCTGGGTCACTGAAGACATGAGGCTGGGAAATCTTGTAGGGGAGGGGATGGTGGTAGCTAGCTGGTCCGGTTTTGCCCCCAAGGCCCCAGAGATTGGTCCTAAAAGCTCAGCAACACGGACACCTGTCAAGGACGGTGTACCCCTCCCCAGTTAGAGGACCTCGGAGGAATTGCGAGCACATGGCCCCACCTTGACCCAGGGGAGCACCCGCTTGGTACCTGCCCAGCGGCCCCTCCTGCCTGGCTCATTGCTCTGCCGTCCCCAGGGAGCTTCCAGATTGCAGTCAGTGACATCATAGTGAGCCCACATGAACACTCCCAGGCCTTGACAGATCTGCTTTTGTGCTTTACACCCTCTGCCTTATTAAACAAATAAGAGAAAATTACAGATGATGGGAACCAAATGGCTGGGTCTCCCCTCAATGTGCGGCCTCTGCCTTTCTCAAGCTAGTGGAATGAGCCTGGGCTGGGGCCAGCCTGGCAGGTAGGTGGGGCCCCATTCTGGCTTCTTTCTGAAGGACATTTGGAGGAAAAAAAACAACATGGGGTTTCTTTAGCTTGGCTGTTCACTAGCTTTGCTCTCAGCCCTGCAATGATTTTCCTTTTTCCTTCAGAAAGTGGCCCCAGGCGCAGACATGTGACAGCGCCTTCGCTTGGCGGCCTCAGGGCTAGGAAATACAAGCCCTGGGCACAGTGCACCCTAACTGAGTGGGGAGCTGGCCCCCTCCCTCCCCACGGAGCCTCCATGCTCTGCTCCTCCCCCACACTCAAGAGGCTCAGACCCCCCCAGGGGAAGGACAGAGGGGGAGGGACCGGGTTGGGCAGGCAGGGAGACTTCCCCGGGGGCTTTCATTTGTCACCAGGGCCACTCCTGCCCTAACCAAGCCCAAAGCGGCCCTGGCCCCAAGCCACTTGGGCCCCAGCGACCGGCTTTGGCTGGCTAGGCCTGGGTGGTCTTGGAATCACAGTCGACCCTGTCAAAACTCATTTCAGACTTTAATTTCCAAAAATCTGTACAATTCACTTGACTCTCTTCCTTTTCCTTTTCTTTCCTTTTCTTTTCTTTGTCTCATTTCAATCTCCTGCCCATTCGATCGATTTCTTTTGACTCCGTTTGCTTTGGTTTGTCTGACGCTGCTGTCACCAGTGCAGTCGCTGCATTTTGTAACATGGGATACCTGTTATTTTCATTATTTAGTCCCAACCCCTATGTCTCCCTCCTCGAAATCAGCGAGCACGCCTAGTGAGGCCGGCAGCCAAGATTCTGGAGACCTGGGACCGCTGACCAGGTAAGGGGGACCCTGGCACCTCCCTCAGGGTGGGGTGGTGGGAGTGCTGGGGAGCAGCTTCTGCTGTGGGGCTGTGCACATGGTGACCATTTGTCCTGGCCCTCTCCTGGGTGACTGGCTCAGCACTCCCTGAGGTCCTGAGAGCTCCTACTTCTGGAACCTCCACAGTCTGCAAAGGGCTTCTTCTCCCCAGCAGATCCATGGGTCATTGGTCCAAAGACATTTGTCCCCATTTCACAGATGAGTGGGGGGTCAGAGCTAGGCTTCAGCCTCAGCTCTCTTAGCTCTCAGTCCCTGGCCCTTGGTTCTCCATCCCACTGTCTCTTGCATCTCTCAATGATGACAAGAAGGGTATTCCTTGTGTTCCAAGGGTGAGCTCTGTCCAGCCTGGACCTATTCCCATTCTCTTTTGGCTTGATTTTCATGAGCATTTGTATGGGGGGCAGAAATCAGGCTGTATCTACATAGCACAAAGGGACAGGAGATTCATTGGGAATCTTGGGGACATTTGGAAACCCAGGACCACGGAGGGACTTGGCATTAGTTTGAACGATCTGGGCCGCTCAGGTTGGTGGCCAAGCTGCCAGACCTCCCAAGAGAACAGAAAGGGCTTGGTGCCTGCAAGGGGCAGTGAGGACAGAGGCAGAAAAAGCAAGGCAGGTTAGAGGGAAGGGTTTCTGGATCCTGGAGGAGGTGGGTGAGGGGGAGGCCAATCACTGGGAATGCTGAAATCCCCAAGGATAAGGGCAAGGATGGTGGCAGAAGAGGAAATCTGTGAGTCTGGCCCCAACCTCCTTGGGGGTGGGGGGAACAATGCCTAAGAGTTGGGATGTGCCCATTGACGCTTGTTGTGACTCTCAAAGGAGGAGGAGAGTCAGAGGGATGGCGGCAGAGCCTGGGTCTAGAAGTGGCAAAGGCAAGGAGGGACCATACCCGCATCTGGCCTGATGTGCTGGGAACACAACTGAAGGAGCTGCCAGCCCTGAGGGAGGCGGGCATAGGTGAGCCTGAGGAATGTCAGGCTTCTGTGAGCCCTGGAACATTGTCCAGGAGAGGCTGAGGTCTAGGTGAAGTCAGGGACTCAGTAATGAGACTGCAGAAACCCTAGTAGTAGGGGCCAGAGGCAGAGAGGGACTGAGCATGGGGACTTCTCCCATCCTTAGTGAACCCTTTAGGAGCATTTGAGACTGATTCCCAGGCTCCCAGGCTTATAGCCTTGGCCTTTCATGAAGCTGACCAAGCCCCAGGTCAGAGGTGGGGTTAGTAACTGGCGACATCACACTTGCTCGGTCTCAGGAGGACAGTGGGGAGCTCGGAGGTCTCTGGCTGGCTAAGGTCTGCTAAGGCATCAGCCCTCCTGCCTCCTGCTTTCTGGTTCATCTTCCCCCCCCCGAATGACTCAGTACATTGCAAATCACTCTGAAAGCAATGTCGCTCCTTGGGCTAACACCCACCTCCAGCTACTCTTCTGCTAAGAGGCAGAAACCTGCAACCAGCAGGGGTCGGCCCCCACCCTCCCAGTTCCATCCATTGAGGTGTTTGCTCCGAGTCCTAGAGACCTTGGCCATCTGTCCTGCAGCTGGGTCTCCCCTTCAGCCCTGAGCCTCTGGATAACTGGGGTAAGCCCTGTACTTCTACGTTAGAGCTGCGGGGGAATGCAGAAGGAGGCAGCGATGTTCTCTGCCCACCTCCTGCGCTCCTCCTCTGACCAGAACGACTTGCACGTCCCATGGTGGGAAGCAGACCCTCTCCTCTAAGAGAATCCCACTTCCTGGTCTTGTGGGTGACAGCATGGGAAGGTGCCGAGGCTTCAGGCCAGTGACAGAGTCAGAGTCAGTGGACCTGGGTTCGAATTCCATCTCTGCTTCTTACGACCCGTGTGACCTTGATCAAGCCCCTTCCCTTCTCTGGCTCATTTTCATCTTTTGTAAAAGGAGGCCTTAGACCCGAGAGGGTCCTCGCGGCTCTGCATTGGGGGCCTGGGCTTTGGAAGGGCTCAGCAGCTGCCTCTCCCCAGGGGTTGAGGAGCTGTGGGTTCAGGCTGCCCTCGGGCATCGGGGGAGGAATGAGTTCTGTGGCTTCCTTTCCAGGAAGCCTGTGGCTGGAGGCTTAGACCCTGGTACTGTCCTCTGTGGCTCCTCCTGTGACCGGCTGCTTGGAATTGGAACCTGGAAGGGCCGGGTCAGGCAGGGGCTCTGCTGCCCTGAGCCTTTAGAGGAACTTTACTTTAGGGAAGGAGCCTCCTCCCTTTTATACCTAGGGCATAGGCCCCACCCTCCCAAGCTCCGGGGGCTGCCTCTGTGACTCAAAGCCAACCTCCCTTCTTTCTGGCAGCCCTCCTCGAGCTGACTGCCTCCTCTCACCTTCCGTTCTTGCTTCCTTTCCACGATTCCTCTTTACACTCCCCCTTCCAGCCATCCCAGTCATCGCATATCTCACCTCTTCAAGTTGAGCACAGGCAGTCTGGACATCCTCCACCCACCTATGTCTGCTTCTCAGAAGGGTCCCCTGCTGTCCCAAGTGACCCTGAGAGCTCTGGGAAATCCTCCCGGCATTTCTGACGATGGCACTGAGGGTCACTGAAGACTTCACCACACTGTAAAGATGTTATCTATTTGACTGTCCCAACAAGCCAGGCTGGCTATCACCACTCCCATCTTATAGATAAAAAACAGAGACCCAGAGAGAAAAATCACATGCCCAGGGTCACACAGCTAGGGAACAATGGAGGACTCAGCATTCTGCCCTTAGGACTACCCCTTGGTCCCCAATCCTGCCACACCCCTGCTTCATCGGCACTGGGGGAATGCCGCTGTCTCGGGGAGGAAGTGGGTCCACCATTGTTCCTTGGGTTGGATATGCTGGCTTAGGATGTTTCAGGATCATCCAGATGTCCTTCTGCCATCACCACCTGTGGAACATTCCAAGAGTCAACGAGGAGGAGCTGGAAGGAAGGTCATCATCTGATCTCGGCCCTCACTGAAGGGGAAATGTCTTGTATTTGGTCACCGAGCTACTAAGTGTCAGGGACAGCATTCCCATCCAGCTCTCCACTCCTCACTAGCGTGTCCACCAAGCACAGGTCAGCCTTTTCCTAAGGCCTCCAGGGAGGGACCTGGCAGACCCTGAAATGAGACGTCTGGCCGAGAGTGGCCAACCTCCACGGGCACACTCAGTAGCGGCTGGGAGGCTGTTCCCGATGACCTCCGAAACCAGCAGGGTGGGCAGCCTAGGATGCTGATCTACCCAGAAATGGAATGCCCAGAGAGTTGGCATGTGCATGGAGGCAGTGTAACAGGATGGTGCCTACTGGCCTCAAGGGCTCCTGGGGGGATGGAGGGGACGTGACCAAACAGTCCAGTTTGGCTTTTCAGTGCTTGGCCCTCTTCTGTACTTTGGGTCCACAGCTCAGATGGGTCAGTTTTCAAAATTCACTTTGGCAACTGTGAGAACTCAGTGTGTTTGATACACAGGTGTGTACCATCTCTTTTCTGGGGGTTCAGCTGAGAAGCCACTGGTGACTAGGGGAGGAGCGGTCTTTATGCTCACTCAGCATGGTCTGGGGTCGTCTAGCTATAGTGGTCCATGGATGTCCATGCTGTCTGACTCCCCATTTGGGACCACTCAGCTCCAAGGCAGTGGTCCCCAGGGTGAATGGATTAAGCCAGCCAAGGCCTGGTCTCTGGAGAGAGCAGTGGCTAGGGGTGGGGTGGATGGGATCTGAAGTATGGTCTGGCATCTGGGACTGGCTAGGTGCAGTGGTCCATGTGGCCTGTGCTGGGTGACTCCCCTACGAGGACAGCACAGCCCCAGGGCATAGTCTCTGGTGGTTCAGCGTCTGGGGGGCACAGTGGCAGTGCAGGTGATAAGGTGATGCCTGGGGAGGACGCTCAGATGAGATGTTGGCCTGGGGCTGTTAGACCCCAGGGGCCATTTTGTGTTGGGCTGGCGGGCTCCTGAATCAGCTTCCGTAGAGGGTGAGTGTGTCCCAGCTCTCCCCACCCCATGCCATGTTTGTCAGGAGCGGCCCTGCTATATCAAGCTCAGGATGGTCCTTGTTGGCAGCGTTTGGGAGGCTGCTATTCACGGCTGTTAGTTTATGGGCCTTGGGACGCCCTTGCCTGTAATTATCATGTCAAACAAATCCGACCATCCTCCTTCCCCAAATAGCAACGCAGCAGGATTTCCAACAGCAGATGAAAGACTTGGGCAAACCTTTTATTTTCCGGAGTACAGTGGCTTGGGAATGAAAGGTTTGGGCAGGAAGGGCTGGATCAGGTCTGAGGGAACTAAGACTGTTCGGCTTGCAGGAGAACAGAGGCATTGTTCCATCCTCGGTTTCCTCTCACAGGACGCTGGAGCTGGAGGGAGATGGGGAGGTTCCCTAAGCCAGGGCCTTCTGCCAGAGACAGCGGAGGCCCAGGCAGGTGCAGTGAGCCTCCCCAAGTCACATAGCTAGGCTGAAAGTCACATCTCTGGAGCCGGGTCCAGTGCGCTGACCACTGCCCTACATAAAGGAATAACTATCTCAAGAAACTGCTGGGCAGAAAAGAGCCACTAACTGGGAGGAGCCTCAGAAGCCAAATCAATTCAAAGTTCTCATTTTACAGATGAGGTAACTGAGGCTCACAGAAGAAAGAACAGAAAGAATGAGTTCCGAGGGTGCTACCAGAGACTGGCTACATAGGAGGGGAAACAGCCTGACTTGGAAGGTTGTTGAATGGCTCTTGGATTTCCTCCTTGGAGAGCCTGGAGGATGAGGCTGCCTCTTCCCAGGGAGGCTCGGTCAGCGGGGTGAGGAGGAGGCCCCAGGGAAAGCTGCCTCTCACCTGCCAGCCCCAGGGACATCTTTGGCATCAGTGCACCAGGGCACTGGGCAAAGGGGCACCAGGAACCGTTTTGCTTTTGATAATGAAAATCTCTGAACATTCTCTTTTTGTAGAACTTTCACATGCCCCCCCCTTTATTTTTTATAAAAAGAGAGTAAGGAAACACATCCTATCGCAATCAGATTATCACACAGGCAATTAACGAAGAGAATGAAAACAATGTTCCAGATCAGAAGCGTCTGAAGCATCTTTGATCTGCCCCCCAGCCTGGGAGAGCTGCCTACGTGGACCTAGCCAATGGTCGCTAGTCCAAAACTTTCCTGTTCTTTAACAAACAAACAACAAAATCCCAAACCTTCGCTGGCCCCTAGCACACTCTCAAGCTATCACGCTACCAAGCTACTGGAGAAAGCCTTTTTCCTCGTCTCCCTCTTTTAAATCCTCTGCCGTCAGTCCGGCTTCTGACCTCTGTCCATCGAAAGTACTCGCTCCAAAGTCACTAACGACCTCCTCTTAATCTCCAAGTGCAATAATGTTCCTTCCCCAACCCTCCTCCTTCCTGACCTCCTTCAGCCTCTGTCACTGTTGTGCACCTCTCCTCCTGAACACTCTCTTCTCTCGGGGTCTTTATGACCCTGCTCTCTCTCATCGTTCTCCTTCTCCCTGTCTCACCTTCCTCTCTTTTCTTTGTGGGATCTTCCTCCAGGGCCTATGTCTAAGCATGAGAGTCTCACAAAGCTCTGTACTGGGCCCCTTCTCCTTCTATGCTCCATAACCTCATTGGGCCCCATTTATTCTGAGCATATTTTGTTACAAAACTACAAATGTAAACACTCGTGGGCAGGAACTGTTTTCACGTCTATCTTTGCATCTCCAATGCCCAGCACAGAGAGAACCTGGTACATAGTAGGCCCTCAGAAAATTGAATTTGGTCCAGGTTCCTGAATCCCTGTTTGGGTTGTTCAATTTGCATCCCATGGCCATCCCGAGCCCCAAGGCAGTGGACTCATTCAATCTGCTGCCTGGCTAGGATAGCAGTCATCCCACCCCACAGATGAACTGAGCACTGGTGAGCCTTATCCGAGGAAGTACTGGGCAGTTGGGCACAAGTCAGCTGCGCCAACACCTGAGAGACTGGAAGGGGTCATCGTGGGGTTAGATGGCCAAGAACTTCCAGGCAAATGGAGGCCAGTCTCTAGACCAATTCCTTGCAACCAAGTACTTCTAGCCATCAGTAGAAACTGCCTCCTGAGCAGAATCCTCACGATGATCTTGAGATGATGAGAGAGGGACTTGAGGTTCAGAGCCCAGAGAACACTTCTAACAGAAATCAGTTTAACTGACCCTATCACTTTGGTTGTGAGAAGCTCCTTCTGAAAGGTAAGTGTCTAGAATAAGCAAGTTCCATATTGGGTTCTGGATCCCACTTAGTGCTGTGTTTTGGGATTTACCGTGGTAGGATTTATAAGAGTTCTTCTAGAGGTGTCCAGGGAGCCTATACATTTCTATTGCTTGGTTTATGGGCCCTGACAGTGAAGGAGGTGATGTGACATACAAGTCTATGGTTTCCCTGGACTTGGACGACTTCCCATGTGCTTCTTGTTCTGGGTTACTTGGATGCTTTTTCCTCCAGTGCATGGCTAGCTCCCTTCTGCTAACCTGCCTTGAAAATGAATAGCCTCTGGATCTTCATGGACCCTGTAGCAGAATAGGATGTGAAATTCATAATGGAGTTTATGTATTCAAGTCAACCAGGCTAAAATTAACTGAGTTACAAAACAATGTAGGTAGTTATAGAATAATTATAGGAAGCTGGGATGCACGTCTTTCGAAGTTGGATAAATCTAACAAAAAACTAAACAAACCAAAAAAAGAAAACACAGATGAACAGAGTGTTGAAAATTAAATTTGAAGGACAGTATCTTTTGAATGGAAATATTAAAGCGCAATTAGGGTTAAAGAATATACATATTTAACACCATCATATGATATCTTTATAAAGCTGATCATGTACATATAAATCATAAATAAATGTTAAAAGGCAGAAATAGTAAAGCATCCTTTTTAGATTATAGTTATTAACTACTATACAAGAAAAAATGCAGACCTACATAGAGGCTAAGTAGTAACATCCTGGACAATGAGGTCAAGTAACAATAACTATGGATGGAAAATATGTTAAGGAACACCAAAAAAAATGGGGTAACATGAAAAAATTTGAGGATGCAGCTAAAATACTCCTAAGAAAAATTGTAGTGATGAAACAGAAAAATATGCTGATTAAAATAGAAAAAGACAGGAATAATGACCTGAGAATACAATTGACAAATCTAGAAAATAAACAAATTAAAACCCAAACCAGCATAAAAAAATAAACCTTGAAAATTAGAAGAGAAATAGAAACAAGCAAAAGGACTGCAGAAATGACAAGCAAAACTAAGAGCAGTTTTCTTTTTATTGCTAAAAAATCATTAAACCACTGGCTAATGGTCAAAAAGGAGAAGATCCAATGACCAAAGTAAGAAATGAACAAGGTGAATTGATAGTGAGTCAAGAGCAAACAAAAACAGGAATCGTGAGCTGGTATACCCAATTTAATGTCAGTTAACTGAGAACTTAAAGAAAAAGAATGACTACCTATGAACCAGGAAATATCCAAATTAACAAAAGAAGAGCTAGTTATCTTAAAGAACGCAATCTTAGAAACTAAAATTGAGCACACAGTAAATGAATGACCCCTGGAAAACAAAACAAACCAAAACTTTGGCCTAAACAGATTTAGAAATGTATTCTACCAGGCTTGTTCCGTGCTGTTAATATCTATTCCACTCAAGTCATTCTCAATAATTGAGAAAGAAGGCACACTCTCAAACTATTTTATGAGACAAATGTAGAACTAATACTAAAACCAGAGAGAGATACAGAAGAGAAAGAAAACTATAGACCTATATCACTAATGAATATTGATCCCCCCAAATTAAGTAAAATCTTAGCAAAGAGACAATAGCAATATACACCCCAATTATTCACCATGACCAAATCAGCAATGATTGAAAGATGATGGAATACCTGGTGAGCCTGGGCACATTCAGAGTACTGTGGCCAGAGACTATGGTTGGACGTTAAGAGAACAACTAGCCTAATTAGTGACATAAACAGCAGCCAGGTGCAGAATGAAAGGAGGCCACAGATTAATTCCTTGGCCCTGGGCTTTCTTCTGAGAAGACCCTTTGAGAGCCCTTCCCTCACCCTGTTGCCTGGCACTGACCCCTGTTTGTCCTTTACCTGGCTTTTCTCTCACCCTGGATCTGGGGACTGCACATGTTTCTGTGTATGTAAATGGCATTGACTTGATCATGAGATGGTTTTTTTCACCCTTTTTGTTAACCCTGTGTGTTCTTTCTCCCTTTGTGCTGCACAACTGATAACCAGCTGCCTTAGGACCCTGCAATGGGACACTGACCCCTCAGTGCTGCAGCTCCAGACAGACTCAGACATTGGGTATTTGTCAGCTCTTTTGTTCCATGTTTGGTTGTTTCTTTGCAAAAGTTGTGTTGGAAAGGCTGGGCTCTTCTCTGTCCCCCTCTGCTGAATCTGCTGATTTCCTTCCAGTCATTTCCTGAACTTTGAAGGAAGCATCTTTTTGAGGAAAAGAAGCCACAAAAAGATGACCATTGCTACCCCTCCCCATGTGATCCCTTTTTCTTTCCAAGAGGGACAAGGGGAACAGCTCCATCCCCCAAGTTCCTCACATGCCCCCTGTGTGAGGATGGGATTGACGAGCCTCACATCAGTGGGGCTTTCCTTGATTAACACCGTATGGGGTTCTGCTTCTGTCTGGGGTCCCTATTCAAGAGCTCCTCCTGTGTCCTGTGTGCTGCCCAATCTCCTTCCCCACAGCGCCTCATGACCACTACCGGTCATTAGGGCTGGGGTCTTTGTTGGTGCCCAGGCCACTGGAGAAGCCTGTTGAAGCAGTGGTGAGGGAGTGGGTTCTCCAGGGCTCCGGGCTGGCTTTCCCTGTGGTCCTCACCAGCAGTTCTGCTCAACTGAAAGACGCTGTGTTGGGTGGGGAAGGGGAGGCTTGGAACCGAGGCCCTGTGCCTTCCAAAACACCTCAGGAAGTGGCCCAAGTGAACAAGAAAGGAAACACGGATGGGGGTCTGGGGCACAGGGGCACCCTGGGCGGGGGAGGAGAGAGAACATGAAAAAAGCAGCCGAGGCGGGGGCCTGCAGTCCTCTGAGCCTTCCGTAACAGTGCAGGGCCCACCGAGGCCAGTCCCCCATTTAACAGATGAGGACATTGAGGCCCAGGCAAAGAAAAGACTCACCCCAAATCACAAGGTCATAAAAACAACTACAATCCTGGAGTTCCTTATCCTAGAATTCATGTATCATAGAACATCCCAGAACATCCTAGAACATCCTAGAATATCCCAGAACATCCTAGAACATCCTAGAATACTTTAAGAGTTTCCAAGCACTTTGCAGATATGCACTCTGTTGATCCCCATGACAGCCCTGGGAGGGAGGGGCTATTATTATTATCCCTATTTACAGATGAGGAAACTGAGGCTGGTAGAAGTGAAATGAGAAGCCCAGGGTCACCCAGCTGTTGATGTCTGAGGCAGGATTTGAATCCAGGTTTTTGGATTCCAACTCCCATTAGACTTCCCTGCCTCTCTGGGAACTTAGTCTCGCTGCCGCGCCCCACCCCCCAGCAGTCTGAGATTGCTCCAAGCAGAACGTCCATCCATGGTCACTTCTGGCTGCAGTGTGGGCCTCGGTGGAGGCCTCGGGAAAGCCTGTCCTGAGAGTGTTTCTGTCTGCAGCTGGTCCTGGGGCCTTAGATGGACCATTTACCACCCCAAGAGGAGAGGCTGAGTCATTTCCAAAGCCTCCTAGAACAGTGCTCCTGGAGCTTTCTTTGTGGGTGTATGTGACTAGGAAGCTGCCTCCTCCTGGGCCCCAGTGCATTTCCATGTCTGAGACCTCCAGCCCGGGCAGTTTTGGTCTTCTTGCATCAGAGGGGATGCCGATGGCCTGTCTGGGGTCAGCCTGGCTTCCTGAGTGCCCCAGACCAGCAGAGGGGGTCCGGGGCTGTGGCATCTGGGACAGTGAGAAGACTTGGAGATGGGTCTGGCCTCACCAGAAGCTAGCATGGGTGCCCGGGATCAGCTGAATCTGTGGGGCTGGTAGGAAGGAAGCCCAAGTGAAAAGGTCAGCCACGGGCAGCCGTCCCATCTACTGGAGCAGAATGGCCTCATCATGGCCACTGGGGGCAGCCAGCCAAAGACACCTGCAAAGGCCTCTGGGTGACTCAGGAGTCAGCCCACCTGCTCATACTGAGGGGGCTCAGGACAGGGGTCAGGAGTCCAGAGTCCATAGGAAGCCAAGACTTGGAACCGGTGGAAGCTTCTCAGAGATTCCAAAGTTTTCTCACTTGGCTGCTTCTTTCCAGCAAGTCCTTGGGGTAGTCAACCTCTCTGGGCCTTGGTTACCCCATCTGTTAATGGGGGGCTGAGCCAAAGACATCTAAGACTCTTCTAGCTGTAAATCTGCTTCTGTGGTCTCTGGGCCTCAGTTTCCTCATCTGTAAAACAAGGGAGATGGGCCAGGTGTGTTCCAGGGCTCCTTCTGTCCTTCCCCCAGAAGTGAGTGACTCCCTCCCACAGATCAGAACACACACGCATGCGCATGCACACACACACACACACACACACACACACACACACACACACACGAATTCCAAGTTTTCCCAGGGGTTGCTAAGAGCTCCAGCCCCTTCCCCAACAAGAAGATCTGATCAGGTGCCCTCTTGTTAAACTAGACAAAGCTCATCACACTCACTGTCTCCACTTCTCACCCACTGCTCCAGCCTCTGTGGTCTCACTTGACTTTGCCACTCCACTGAAACTGTCAAAGTTACCAAAGATTGCTTTTAAAAATTGTTCTTGCCTACTTTTCCATGACCCATCACATTTCCCAGTACCCAAAAAATCCCTCCACACTCCCAGAGAACCATTTCCCAGAACACAGAATAAAATGACTAATTGATTCATGGACCAAAGTCAACAGTAGAGTTGGGGCATGTGCCAGTAGCCTGGCTCTGCAGCAGTATCTCCTGTCTTTGAGCTCGCGCTCACCCATTCTCCATTCTCGGCGTTCAGGTTTTCTTTGTTGGGGGGCTTTCGCTTCCTGTCTTTTGGCCCTCCTGGTTCTGTTTCCTTTGCTTGGCATCAGCCCACTTAACTCTTCCCAATCACACTCATGGCAACTTAGAGCAAGAAAAGTCCACCATGCCTCACAGTTTCTTTGACTGGCTCCAGTTGCTGAGCGGCTCTCGTACCCAAGTCTTTCCTGCCACAGGCTCTAACTGTTTGGGTACATGGAAGACCTGTTCACCATTGCCCTACTTGAGGTGTGTGCCCGGCAGTGGGATTTTTTCTTGTTTTTGAAAAACACGAGGAAGCCTGGCATAGGGAATAGGGAACTGGCCTTAGAGTCAGGAAGATCTAGGCTCAAGTCCCACCTCTGATAGGTGTTGGATCAGAGACCCTTAGCCAGTCCATAACCACTCAGCACGCTAGGCAGCTATAAGGGTGTGAGTTGTAGAGAAGGTGCCAGCGTGCATTAGAGAAGAGAGTTTTGCCATCTGGGCGCTCCTTACTCCAATGAGTTTGCACGTCCAGTCTGTAGCCCTGGGCTGCCCCCCTCTCCTTTTTAAGCGTAATTCCAAATTACTTTTCAGTGTCTGGACCAATAGTACTCCACCAGTTGTCATTAGTGGGCTGATCTCAACCCATCCAAGATCCCCAGTGATCTCCTGATCCCCAAATCTGGTGGTCTTTTCTCAGTCCTCATCCTGGTTGACCTCTTCTCTGTTTGACACTGATGACCAGTCCTCCTGGACGCTCACTCTTTTCTGGGTCTTCATGAATGTTCCCTTCTGGTTCTCTCACCTATCTGACCATTCCTTCTCAGTTTCCTCTGCTGGGCTGTCATCCACCCCCACTCCGAGCTGTGGGTGTCCCCCAGGTCTCTAGCCTGAGCCCCATTTTGTTGACCTCATCCACTCCCAAGGCGTCAATGATCATCTCTTCGCAGATGGCTCCCAGTTCCAGTCTCTTCTTGAGCCCCCATCCCACATCACCAATCGTCTTGCTGGTCATTTTCAATGCCCTGTGGGTGCCTCTAACTCAACTTGTCCAACTCGGAACTCATGATCTTCCCTGTTCCTTAAGCCCTAAGTTGTAAGCCTTAAGTTCACAACCTCTGGGGTGTCCTTGAGTCCTCACTCTTCACCCCGAAGCCTCCGAGTCTGCTCTACCAGATCTGCACAGCTCCTCTCTACCCCTGGGGCCAGCACCCATGGTCATTCACCTGTCCTGGTCTCCTGCTTTTTGTTTCTCCTCCCTGCAAGCCCAGGGGCACTTCCCTAAAGCACAGGCATAACCTCCTCACTCTCCTGCTCAGAACCTCCAAACACAGACTCCTTTGGTTGGTGTTTACAGGCCTTCTTCACTTGGCTCCAGTCTACCTTCCCAGGCACTCCATAGTCTGGTCAAATTGATCTCCTTGTTCCCATTAGACCCTTCATCTCTGGCCTCCATGCCTTTGATCAGGCTGATCCCTAGGCCTAGAATGCCCTCCCTCCTCACCTCCACCTTTAGAATCCCTGGCTCCCTTCAAAGCTCAGCTCAAACATCAGCTTCTACAGTAGACCTTTCCTTATTCCCAGATGCTCCCCCCTCCCCCCCACACAGACCTATGCACATACCGCAGATGCTACCTGGGAGAGCCAGGATCATTAGTTTATGCAGTGACCCCTCAGTGCCCTGGATCAGTGAACCAGGTCATGATGCCTTTCTGTGTCCTGGGGGTCTGGGGGATACAGCCTATGGGGTATGTGTCGGGGGCTACTTAGAGTAGTGAATTTGAAACATCTGGGTGAACAGGTCCTGGGCCTGTGGATCTATGCTTCCTCAGCTCTCCTCTCTCTTGCCCCTCTGCTGTTTGGGTTCTCTCAGGTCATGCCCCTGTTCGTTGTCTCTGACGCTCTGTTAGTGGCCCATTGGCCGAGGATGTTGAGATGAAAGGCTTTGACTGAGGAGGGCTCAATCTCCTCCCACTCCCTTTTCTCTGCTGTATCTGCATTTATCCCAAATGACCAGGGAGCCACAAGGGCTCTTTCTAAGCCCTAATGGAGCAGATTCACAGATTTAGAGCTGCCAGGGACCTCAGAGCAAGGCAAGCCCCTCAAGGCCAAGCCCCCCATTCTGCAGAAGAGGAAACCGAGGCCAGCAAAGGAGGAGGCAGTACCTTGCCTCTGCAGGGATAGAATCGGCCCTCCTGCCTTCTGCTGCTGGTCTTACTAGCTGGCATTGCCACTGCTTGGGCTGCATGGGGGAGGGGGGCTGGGGCCAGCCCCGGGAGGGTCACCTGCCCACTTCATGGCTTGTTCCGTTTGTCATTTCTAGGCGGAGACTGCATAAGCTCGGCGTGTCCAAGGTGACTCAAGTGGACTTCTTGCCCAGGGAAGTTGTATCCTATTGTAAGGAGACGCAGACTCCACTGGACACACACCAGTCAGAAGGTAAAATTCATTTGTTTTTCCACCTTGAAATGATATGTCTCCATGGAAGAATTCAATTTGGGAGGGGGTTGGGGCGGGGGCAAGGAGGAGTGGGGAGAAGATCCTCCCTCCCTCTTTCCCATGCTCAGTCTGGTGAATTATCTCCACCCCTAAGGCACCTGTGTAAAGCTGGGGGCGAACAGACTAGCAAGGTGGGGGAGGGAGGGGAAGGTGATCAGAAGGGCAGGCTCTCTATTCCTCCCCAGCATGTTGACAGAAGTTATCATCCCGGGGTGGGATCGGATTCGTCACCTGAGCAGGTGAATTTGGTAGAAATTCTAGAGAAGTCATTTTTTAAATTAAAGTTTCTTCTATTAACAAAAAGTAACTTTCCCCCTCCTACTTACTCCCACCATTAAAAAAGAAGAAAGATGGAACCCTCGTAACACAATGGGTGTAGTCAAGCAAACAAACTCTTGTGCTGGTCAACCCCACCCCCAAATGTCCGGATCATCCCGTGCCCTGAACCCCCCATCTCTGGCAGTCAGGGGGAGGTGGGGGTGGGGGGTGGAGCAGATAACGACTGTGGCTGGCCTTCGCCTTGATCAGGGTTCTTAAGTCTTTCTGCGTCATTTGTCTTTGTCGGTCTGTTCTTATATAAATCATTCTTCCGACTCCGTCGCCTTGCTCAGATTCAGTTCGTAGAGCTCTTTCCTTGTTTCCCTGAAGCTTTCCTATTCATCATTTCTTATGGTTCAATAAGCTTCCATTACATTCCTCTGCCGCAATTTGTCCAGCCATTCTCCAAAAAAATGAGCACCCCGTTTGTGTCCATTCCTTTGCCGCCACAGACAGCGCTGCTATACATATGGGCTCTTTTCTTCTTTCTTTGGTCTCTTTGGGGCATAGACGACTAGCGTTATCGGTGTATCAGTTATGAACACACTTTGGTGACTTTGGGGGGAAGTGATTACAAATTGATATCCACATTTACTCTTCCACCAGCAATGCCTTCATGTAACCACTTCCCCTCAGCCCCTCCCCCATTGATCATTCTCTTTTGCTTGGCCATTCTGATGGGGTGAGGTATTGCCTCAGTTGCTTTAGTTTGCATTTCTCTAATTGTTAAGTGATTTGCAGTGTCTTCTCCTGTGGCTTTAGGTAACCTCCTTATTCACATTCTGTGACTTTAGCACATTTCCTGGAACAAAGTCGTCATTTAATAAATGCTTGTTCACTTGGCTCCGCCATTTGTCAATTAGAGTGACTTTATCCTTATCTGGTTGAATGGCTGCTTTATATAGCTTGGATATCAGACCCTTATCAGTCAAGTGTTCCCCAAAGTTGTGGGGGGTTTCCCCAGTTACCTGTTCCCTTCTGAATTCTGTGTTCTGACCACAACCCTTGTGCTTAGCACAGGCATTCATGGGCTGGGTCAGGTCCTGGCAGCCAAGGCTTCTGGAACTCACATGCCCTGCAGATAGGCACCAAGTGAGTGGCCTCTGGCTGGCTTGGGCAACCCTGCTGCAGGCAAAGTCAGTGAGCACAGTTGCACACTCTTTCTCATGAGCTCTAACCCACTGTCCCTCAGTAGTTCACTGACGTTCCACAGACATTGGTCAGTGCTTGGCACTGAGGAGAAAATAGGCAAGCACAAGAGAGAAAAGGGAACAACTCTGCCTCTCAGGGTGTGCCCAGGTGTGTGCACACATGCTTGTATATACCTGTCCGTGTGTGTGCACCCTGGGAGTGATGCCAGCTTGGCGATAGGGTCTGGGCTCCCTGAGTAGTCCAAGCACGCCCTCTGGTGGCTGTCAGCAGAGCAGGTCCCCCAGGGATCCCAAGAATTCCAGGAGAGCTGGTGTGTCAGGCCTGCCCAGAGAGCTTTCCATAGCCAGTGCATCCTGGGAGGGGCCAAGGGGCCAAGTACAGCATCTGTTCTTGAAGACTGTAGACTGACCTGGCCCAGAGCTCTCCTGGGAGCCCTCACCAGCCCAGCTGCAGGAATGCCTGCTTCAGCAGCAGCTAGAGAGACTCTCCATTTTCCTGACCACCCCAGTCTGGCTCTGGTGGGGAGGGGCCTCTAGTACCTTCCTAGTAGACCATCCTATAGCACCTGCATGCTAGACTGAGGTGCCACAGCTCCTTTGGGGGAATGTACAGGAAGGGGGCTGGCTGGGCACCATCTATGGACTTCCGTTGGATGCTTGGGGCTGACACAGGTCAAGTCAGGGTACCGTTATACATTCTCTGGCATCTCTGGGAAGCCTGAAGAATTCCCATATTTAATGTCATTATCTCCCCAGTGGGAATTCAGAGCCCAGTCTGGAGATCTGGGCACTGGTGAGAGGCAGGACTGGGGTGAAGTGGGCAGAACTGGGTTTCAGTTTCATCTTTTCTACTTGTCAAGTGTCAATACCCCTGCCCCCACCCAGTCTCAGTTTTCTCATTTGTATAATGACATTAATGCCTCTTGCACCTCCTTCCTCACTGAGTTGTTTTGAGACTCAAAGGAGGCCAGATCTATAAGGGATCCTGTAAGCCAACATCATTGTTATCCCAAGGTGACTTGTATGATTTCTCAAAATCCTTCTGCCCATGGGTAGTTAGCAGTCAGAACCAGGAAAAATGGTGAAGATTGTTGATTCATAGTACACCCACGGAAGGCACTCTTGCCCTCCAGGGACTTTGTAGAAGGAGAATGACTCTGGGGTAGAAATGCACCTCTATTTTCAAGGGAGATTTGCAGCCCTTTCTGAGATTTTTGTGGCTCTGGCCATGGTGCTGAGGTGCTGTTCCCCACTTTGGCCCCCACCTCCGTGTTCCTGTTGAGTCCTGAAGGGGACAGGGAAGGGTGGGAACTATCTCCCCATTGCAACAAGTGGGTGCCAGTACTCAGGTTAAGAATCATTCACCGTGGGGCAGCTAGATAGCACAGTGGATAGAGCACCAGTCCTGGATTCAGGAAGAGCTGAGTTCAAATCTGACCTCAGACACTTGACACTAGCTGTGTGACCCTGGGCAAGTCACTTCACCCCATTGCCTCACCAAATAAATAAATAAATAAAAAAATAAAAAGAATCATTCACCATGTGGGTCCCTGGGGTCCCCCTCAGAACCATTCCTGGGGACTTTCACCATCTAGAGGCTAAGTGGGGTCTCCTTCCAGAAAGCTGACATTCTAAAGGGCCCTTTCAGGGAGAATTTCCAGCTCATAGGAGATCAGTCAGATATGGAATAAGCCCCTCCCCTCTCCCACCATGTGCTAGTTCCTGTGCTTGGTGCAGGGGACATGAAGACAAAAGTTATGCAGTCCCTGGCTACAGGGAGCTTACATTTTATCAGGAAAGAGACTGTGCCCTCAATGAATATGCAAATGTACAAAATGCATAGGTCATTGTGTTGGGAGGGAGGACCCTAACAGTGGATGGGTGATCATAAAAAACTTCAAGTACAAGGTGATGCCTGTGCAGTGTTTTGAAAAAGAAAAAAACTGACTCTGGCAAATGGAGGGAAGGACAGAGTGTGTGCTAGGCGTAGAGAACAGCCCTAGAGTCAGGAGATAATGTCATTTGGTAAGAGTAGCCAGAACACCAGTGTGGACTATAGAGGACAGGAAGGAAAGTAATACAGAATAACGTTGGGGTGTCTGGTCTAAGCCAAGTTGTGAAGAGCTTTGAATGCCAAAAAAGGAGCTGATACTTCAATCTGAAGGTCATAGGGAGCCACTGGAGTTTGATGAGTAAGGGAGTGACATGGTCAAATATATGCTGTAGCAGAGTCATTGTGGCTGCTGTGTGAAGGGTAGATTGAAGAGGGGAGACATGAGGCATGAGATCAACCAGGAGATTTGGGGAGTAGTCCTGCCAGTCCCAAAGTAGCAGATGGTGGCAGCATGAGCCAATAGAAATCAGCCCAAAGTTGAATGTAGGAGACCTCATCTTGAGCCCTGGTCCCTGTGTGACACTAGGCAGGTGACTTCCCCTCTCTGGGTCTCAATTTCTTCACTGATAAATTGAGGCTAATCCTTACCCTTCCTTGCTCTCAGGGCTGTTTTTGTATGAATACACCCGAGACACAAGAACCCTGCCATCATTACCTGGGGAGGGTGCTGATGGGAGGCCCCCATCCTTGACTTCAGGCTCTAGGGACTTCCCCCTACAAATGAAGTCCTCTGCCTTAGAAGCTTATTACCTCCAGCAGCTCTGGAGAGACTTGGAGACAGACCCAGGAAACATGTATAGGCAACCTGCAAGCCCCTGGAAAAGCTGAGGGACAAAACCTCGAGTTGTTTTCTGTTCTTTAACGTGGGCAAGGAGTCCCAAAGTCAGAATCTGCTGTCCTGTGGCCCTCTGGGGAATCCCTTTGGCCCTAACCCTGGCAGGATGTGACCCTGTGAGCCCCAGCAGGAGTGGAGTGGAGCCACCAAGGGCAGGAATTCCTGGCCACCAAGGGCAGGAATTCCTAGAGCTTTTGTTCTCTCTTGGTGCTCACTCTGTGAGCCATCTTGGTCATGAAAGGTGATCCGCTGGAGAAGGAAATGGCAAACCCCTCCAGTGTCTTTGCCAAAAAAGCCCCATGGACTTTCTGGGAGCCAAGATAGCAGAGTAGGAAGCAAGTCGCTTTCATCGTCCCTTGTCAACCTCTGAAAGCCCAGAAAATATCACCCCAGAAAAAACTCTGGAACAGCTGAACCAGAAGAAAGGTAGGTGCAGCAGTCCGGTGCCCCAGGCAGCTTGAGGGTTTACCAGGAAGGGCCCCTCTTGCCCGGGGTAAAGGGAGCAGTGTGGAATGGGAGGTGTCCCAGCAAGCTCCCTCCTCAGCATACCAGGAGAAGATCCCGAAACCCAGATGGTGGAGCAGGCAAACGCTAACACCTGGACCCTCAAGTGCCTCAGTGAGGGCATGGAAACTGGTGGAAACCAGCTCAGAAAATCACCAGGTGCCTCAGCATTCTACAGCAGTCTCCCAATGCCTCACCAAAACTCTGTGAAGTGCTCCAAGGGGCCCCAGGGGGATAA